CTGACCATCAATACTAACTACTATATATATGTTTACCCTTATATGTCTACCCTTTATATAATATAACCGTTGTCATTTTTTAGGGTAATTACCAAATCGGGTAACAAATCTGAAACTTACACTGCAACATGATGAACATTGTTAGCGTATTTTAAAAGATACCGCATTGCATGCTTAATTTTATTCGTATTCTTTTTTTAATAGAAAAATCAATACCTTTTTCTCAATTTTTGTAAATTTCAATCAAATTATCGAATTCAGATTAAACGATTCAGTTAATGGTTTCTTCAAGAGTAAGTAAGATGAGATGATTTTGTTTGCGGACCATAGTTTAGTAATGTTTGTAAGTAAACTCTGTATGCGTAAGTTGCGTAAGTACTGTTTGGTGGTGAAACCAGTTTTGGATGAAAACGTCAACCTGACTAAATAATGAATGCAATTAATAGTTTTTAGGGTCAATTATTACACCTTCTGCTAAATTTGCTTCATGCTTTTTTATTCTTTTAATAGCCGACCCATCCATTAATGTTTCTATTTTATTTTCAACGTTCCACTTTAAATTTTTGCCTGTTTCTTTCATGTGATGCATTAATGAATCTTTGAATGACCGTATATTTTTTGTAATATCTCCAAATACGTTTAAACCTGCTTTCGTTCCAGTTTTTAGTTGTAGTAAAACTGCAAAACAAACCTAGTAAAAATTGTCAAACCCTCTGTCTTTTTGAAACACAGAAGCATGGTAAACTGTTACAATGTCGCTTCCCGCTTGCGTTTCATAGTAACTGATATAAGGACAACTAAATTTCATATTTTTTAATTTATTCTCCTAAAATGTAGCTTCACAGAAGATGTTCCAAACCTAAAAGGCACTTTTTCGCCTGTGTTTGTTAAGAAAAGTCTTTCAAATTTTTTTCTTGGTTAGATCCAAACATGTATTTCTGATTACCAACACTTACAATTGCTAATACTTTTGCAGCGACATCACCAATAATTTGTTGCTCTATAATGTATATAAAATAAAATATTTGTTGTGACAAACCTAAAAATATATTTTCTGGATGCACTCCTGTGTTATGTTTGAATAAATCTGTGTTTGATTCATAACCTAATTGAATACTTATTATCGGTGGCAATTTTAATGAAGTAACTTGTGAACAGCTAAACGAATCTCTTACTTTCTTTGAAGTCATACTGTAATGAAATTCTATTTTATCTAGTAATCCCTTGTTTGAGTTTAATGCAGTAATAGAATTTTCTACATTACTATAATCTCCTGAATCAATATGTGTATTGAATGGTATTTCTGTTTGCTCATCGTTTATGGCAATGTTTTCGTTGTAATAGATAATGTTTTCATTTTCACGAACTGATGTAATCGTACATGGAAGCTGCACATCCGTGAGTGCAACTTCTCAATTTCCTTCTAAAGAAATTGCTTTCAGTGGTTGCGTGCAAAATTTTGTAGTTCTATAAAAAAATTATCTGTCTGTAATTCTGATGCCCTTATTCAAGAATTAAATTTTTCTGGATAACCTTTCCAATTAACAAACAGCTTTTTGTTAATAACGGTACTACTAGTTTTAACGATTTTATTTACTTTGAAAGTCTCAGGAGTTTGAAGTTCTAGTACATAGAAAACTCTTTCAATGTCTTCCACAGGTAAATCAGATATTCGATAGACTACGGAGTTTCTGGGTACTATTTTAACGATTTAAAAATTTCCCCACTAATGTTTGACGCGTAATCCTTCTCAAAAGCATGTTTTAATCGACTAGTCGGAACATAATCGTTTATATTAAACTTATACCTTTTCTTAAAGTTAATGATAGGAGATGAATTGAGAATGTTAAATAGTTCGATGATTACTATTGTTGTAAGAATCAACGAGCTCATTAAAACATTTACATATTTATAAGTATTATAACCAGTAAAGGAGCGTCACATTTTCGTTTTAAGGTGCTAATAAAACGCTCAATTATATTTGCCTTGATATCGGGGTTATGACCTAATTAATGTTTTATACCATTCGATTTTAAAAGATGTTGTACCATAACAGATAAAAATTCTTTACTGAAAAAGAAGTTTACTTAAATATTATTTTAAAATAATTAGTCTCAAAAATAAAACTTGTACCTTTATCTAATCTAATTACATCAGGTTTTCTTAGACTCTTAAAAAATATTCTCTAGAACTTGAGAAAATTCGTGACCGTTTTTGGTTATTATCGATTTACACCTATATACATACATATCAAATGTGTATTACGAAAAGAATATATACATATCCATCATTGTCGTCTTTACAATTACGCATATCAATTAAATCTATTTCCCACATGTCATCGACATTTGTAAGTAAATATTTATTTCTTTTAAAACGTCTTCGGATAGATCTATGTAAAGTATAACTGCCTTGCGAAGGTAGAAAATCTTGAACTTGTTTTTTATTCAAATCATTTTCGACATAAGTATACAGGCTATTTACACTCGAATAGGAAAAAGAGTTAAGTATATTGTAGTCAACTTCAGTCAATAGATTAATTGTTAATAAAACAAAAAGTATAAAAGAAAAATACTTAAACATTTATATTAAACGTTACTGATATGTGTTAGGGAGGTAATGAATTCCAATTAAACTAAGCATCTTCTTTTATTTTCACAGGAGTTATGTGAGGTGGCATATTTATTTTTTTCAAAGCATTCGAAAGCTCTCCAATACCCTGTACTTTTGATGAAGTTTTCTTTTTCTTTCGTACAAATTCATTAACTAAATCCACTGTAATTGAATTTAAAATGTACCTCTGACCATCAATACTAACTACTCCTAATTTATTCCAAGATATATTAGATGTTTTCATTTGTTGTTTGCGTTGTTTATTAGTACATGTTTCTATTAAATGTTCGTATAGTTCCTCATATAGCACATGTAGATAAACATGACTAAGCTCGTGAAAGTGATAGAATATTTCGAACTGTTTCCTTTATCAATGTAATAACAACGATTTCTTTCCTTGGTCTTTACTCAGGATTATTGTATTTCTTGTAATATACAAACATTTCGTCCTCTCTTTGGAAAATACTAATGTTTCAAATGGTATCATACCATCATAGTAGTATTGAATAAACGACATTGTATTTAGTAGAGTGAAAATCATATCACTAGGAATAAAGTTGTTGACCCGGAGGCTGTAATTTTTTTCTACATTTAATTATATGTTTAGTTTTGTAGAGAAACAATTTATTCGTGTCCCCAAAATACCCACAATATACTGTATCATTGCAGTGTATAATAATGTACTATTAAGTCATTTATATTGAATTAAGAAAATTGCATTCCTTTCGCTTGATAGTTTACATTTAATTGTATGTTTAGTTTTGTAGAGAAACAATTTATTCGTATCCCCAAAATACCCACAACATACTGTATCATTGCAGTGTATAATAATGTACTATTAAGTCATTTATACTGAATTAAGAAAATTGCATTCCCTTCGCTTGATAGTTTACTTATGATTACCTCTGCAGTAGTAATAATTATGAACACAACAAGATAATTTTAATTATTTTCACAGCATTCACAGTAACCGATGATCACTATCCCCCTATTACGAGCCCCTCCTTCAGTTGTCTTGGTAGAAAGCTTCACTAATGTCCAATATTTATGCATATTTTTTCTACAACTATTCTGTACCTTTATAACTACAATTTTCATTATTTTTACAGATTTCACAGTCACCTATCATCGCCGCTCCCCTACGACCCTCTCTTTTAGTTGTCTTGCCACAATTTCGGGTAAGTGTTTCCAAAAAGTTTGACCAACGTTCCATTTTTATGCATACCTTTTCTTGAACGTATTCCGTGCGGTACCTTTATACGTATAATTTTAATTATTTTTACAGATTTAACCGTCACCGATAATTTTCGCCACTCTACGAGCATCCCTTTAACTTGTCCTGTCACAGTTTTTGGTAAGTTTTCCAAAAAAGGTTGACTACACTTCAATTTTCATTCATACTTACTTGTCGACCGTATTCGGTGCGGTACCTCTATACCTATAATTTTCATTTTTTTTACAGATTTCACAGTCAGAGATAATTTTCGCCACTCTACTAGCATCCCTTTAATTTGTCCTAACACAGTTTTTGGTAAATGTTGCTGAATAGTTTCAGTAATATTCAATTTTTATGCATACTTGGGACTTTTTACAAGGTATTTTGTAACAATAATTTGCATTATTTTCACAGTCACCAACGATGACGTTCCTTCTTCAGTTTTGACTTCGATCCATCCTTCTGCATGACGCTTCTGCAAAAATTACTTACCACAGCATTTCGTATGTACCATGTAAAGATTTTTATTATTAATTCTTTATTTTTAGGTGTACCATTCCTAGCAAAACCTATTATACGGGAGAGGGATTTTAGTTGGTAGGTCCTCCTGTGAGGGAATCCAACACTACCCAGTCGTACGGACGGCTGGGTGTCTTTTGAAGATTTCCCCTCTTCCACAAAAAAAAAAAAAAAAAAAAAACTAAACGATCTAATGACTTTTATTGCTGGTGTTCTCAGATGGGCGGAATAGCCATTTATTTCCACTACCCACTCGCTGGTATTAAGTAATTTGGAATTGTTTACAACCCCTTTTCTTCAATATTGTTTCAGTGTTCGGCATCAATTTCTATCTGAACACGTAAGTTGCTACAACTATTTTTTACCTTCATTATTAATTATCTTGTGTTCAAAATGTTAATTGTACATTATTGAAAGGTTTTAGTTAAAAACTGTTAAACTGTATTACTGTTTCTTCTGTTTTGTGGCCTTTTCTATTTCCTCAATTGTCTCTTCAAATTACATAAAATATTTTATTTTGTACAAGTGTATTTGTTAGGTTTAATAAATATTTTTTACTATTTCACTTATTATTACTTTTACACTAAAAAATTCGCAAGTTCTTATGTTAAGGTGAAAAATGGACAAGTAACAATGTATTTCCTTTTTTACAAGAGAAAAAATGTGTTTTCTTTTATAAGAAAGGAAAATTGCATTGTTTCTTATCCATTTTTCACTTTAACTTACACGTTACGAAAAACAATAAGTAACTAACACATTTAAAGTGCGCGCCTTTTTTACTTAGTATTGACTAAACCTGCCGGAAGGCGCGCAAATCAGCGCATTTCGAGTTAACCATCTATTACCCTTTGTATATCTAACATCTATGTTCTATATTAAAGAGTAAAACCTATGATAGAAACTTGTCTATGGTAGAAACTCACAGAATTTGAAAGTTACACTTACTTTCTGCTTACTGTTTTGATAAATTCGTTTGTGAAACTGCAATACCAAGCGTTTTCCTTAAATTTGCTGAGTTTCTTTATAATGAACCTACCATAATTAAATAAAGAGGTGTATCACGTATGCAACATTGAACATTGAGTGAATCAAAGTTCGATTTAAAACATGGAAATAAATTGTCTAATTTCCCTTTTGTTTTTAGTTTGATGTGTGTGATTAAAGAATAGGTACCAGTATAATATGGTATTTGTTGTTATGTTAACGACATTACAAACAAAATAATATTTGCAAGCAAACGGCAATGGGAAGTGAAAAGGTACTATAAAAATTGGTGTAATTATTAATATTATGATATATAATGTGCCTTGTTACAGTTTTTATTTAGACTAGAACAACCACATGGTCAAGGAAATGTGTATATCACATGGCAAAAGAATTCATCCAACTATTTGGTCACGACTGGTTCAGATGGTATGGTAAATATTTTTAATCGATATGGACAAATCCAAGAACGAATCAAATTACCAGGGTCAGTCTAGCTGTTAAGCAATCTGAACGAATCTGTGTTTTTATGTAATACAAGCATGAGATGAGCAAAACTAATTTGTTCCAAATTTTGATGTTTCAGTCTTTGTACAGCATTCGAATGGAATTTTACTGGTGATTTAATAGGAATTGTAAGTCAATCTACTCAATTAATTTTGTGGGATGCAAATCTTGAAAAGAAATATATAGTGGAGTTGAATTTGAAAGATGTCATGACATGTATATTTTGGGAAAGAAATAGTCAGATGGTTGCTATAGGATCAAAGAAGGGGAATGTGTGTTTGTATGATCATACAACATCAAAGTAAATCACATTTTAACAAATTAGCTTTATTTTGAATTTAGTTTTATTTGTGTTTTCGTAAAGTATCAAGCCAAATAAATCCTGCAAAGTGGACAATACTTATAAACAGATTTCAAGATTCTTTTGCTACTTATTGAATTAAGAAAATTGCATTCCGTTCGCTTGTAGTTTACTTATGATTGCCTCTGCAGTAGTAATAATTATGAACAGAACAAGATAATTTTAATTATTTTCACAGCATTCACAGTAACCGATGATCACTATCCCCCTATTACGAGCCCCTCCTTCAGTTGTCTTGGTANGGTAATAAATCACCCGTACATGTGTCCTCAAATTATAATACAATACAAAAAAAAGAACAAAATGAATAACTTAATCTAGATGTTCATAATTAAGAAAATCTTTATATATAAAAGATATTTTGCCTGCTGTAGCACAGGTCAAAGTCCAACTCTTGCTCTGTATCATTGGGTAACCAAACTATGTTTTAAATTACAGGTTCCTGTAATCTTTTTTAAAACAATTTTTAATACAAAGTGATTAAACAAATTGTTCACAAAAGTGAATTTCGATCACTCGAAGCAATGGTGTTAATCGAGCTCACAGTGACTGATAGGGAGAAAGAACTTGTAATGTTAATATATATTTTTTACAGTTTACTATATTCATGATTATTTTGCAACAACCACTTCTTGATCTTACTCTTAATAATCCTTTTATTTACCTTTGTCTTTTTTTATTCCTGTGATAATTGATTAGAATCAGCTTTGTAGGGAAAAATTGTGGCTTGGTATAAAATACATAAATCATAATAATGCATTAGTCTGGAATAAATGTAGTTCTGTCTGATATTCAATACTTGCTCGAAATCTTTGCTATAATCTTTACCAGATATTAGTTTGAATAGTCTTTTTTGTAATGACCATAGTTACAAGTAGAGGCCCATTCAATGACTATATTGAACAGTGCTATGAAATAACCCGTAATATTTACTTTAAAATTTTAGATCATTTGTTTTGGTATTGGAAATAAGAATAGCAGATATTTATTAGTGGGATCATTCCAAGCATGTGCACGTCCATTTTTTTACATTTGTTAATTATCCGATTCACAATTATTAAGGATAATTTGTAGATTTACGTAGGCTAGACAGTTCTAAGCATTTATTTAATATATGGATAGTACAGCAGTCATTACTAGGGTATAATACAACTGTATCATCTGCATAAGAACTTATGAAACAACAATTAGGAATATGTATTTTGTAGAAATCGTTTATATAAATGAAAAATAGTAACGGACCGAGTGTAGTTTCCTGTGGAACTGAAATATTTACGTATTCTGCTGCTCTTTTCATTAACACTAACCATTTGCAGTCTCTTAGACAGGTAGCTCCTTATGAGTTGTTGTAGAGCCATCTCCCTTATACCTAGTCTATTTAATTTCTCAAGTAATATTTATTAACTAAAAAACAAGATAGACTCACCCCAATTTACCACTACAACTATGATCATTGCGGACACATGTTTCGCTCACTTATGTGGTCATTATCAACGCGAAACAGTCTCGGGTCAATGAAGAAAGCCAAAGACTAGGTTTAAAAATTAATATCAGCAAAACCAAGTTTATGATTGTTAGTGGAAACGATATTCCTCACACTCACATACATATTAATGAAGAAAACATCGAACAGGTTATGCAATTTAAATACATGGGATACATGGTTAACGAAGGATGGGATCCGGATCAAGAGATCAGATGCAGGATCAAACAGACCAGAACAACATTCCTAAGAATTTCTTACATACAAGAACCTGAATTTAAACCTTAGATATATGAGGTAAAATGCTATGTCTGGTCCGTTCTCCTTTACGGTGTTAAAGCATGGACGTTGAAAATACCGGGGAGTGTACGATTTCCGTGGCGCCGCAATCTAACGACTGTTTTAGCTTAATTGGCCCAAAATAACACGAAAATGAAAAATAAAATTTTTCGATATCTCGCTTCGTTTTCGAGATATCGATACTTGAAATTATAACTTAAAGTTTGTTCAAGATTCGCTTGATAGAATAGATGGCGTTTAATACGACGTCTAAAACGAAGAATTTTCTTTTTTAAATATAAATCGAATGATGTAATGAATTAAACACAAAGTATTTTATTTAAATTTTACATAATTTACCTTAATATTTTAATGATATTATTATGTATTATCTAACATGATCAAACATAATACAATCCAACCCAGTTCGCAAGAATCTCACCCAACATGGCATGGCGTATGTTTGACCGGGTTAGGTTAGGTTAGGTTAGGTGAGCATAGATTGCGCTGGACTGACTTGGGTTGTATTGTATTATGTTTGATCATGTTAGATTATTTGGGTAAGGAAGGGAAGGTACGGCAAGGTGGAATGGCGCATGTTTGACCGCCAAATCATGGCGCCACGGAAATCGTACTCGTGCCAAAATACCAATAATTAATAAAATCGAAGCCTTTGAAATATGGATCCTACCTTGTGAGAAATGAAGATGTTCTCCGGAGAGCCGGTCTTGCAGAATAAAAACTTCAAAAATACCAAAAAAAGAAAGATAAGTTATCTCGGACACATACTGCGCTGAAACGGTATCCTTTCAATGCTTAATTCTGAAGGTAAAATTGAAGGAGTGAGAAGAGGAATAGGCAGAAAAAGATTATTGTGGCTAAGAAATATACGTCAATGGACAGGGATAAAGGACTTCAAAACACTACAACATGCTGCAATTAATAGAACCATATGATAAGAAAATGGTGGACGCCTACTCATGCGTGTATGTATGTGCGTGCGTACCAGTGCGTCTGTGTGTTAAACTACTGCTACCAACCCTGAGAGGCGCAAGTGTGCTGGCGTGAGCAGTTGGTAGCAATGAAAAAGCAAAGAACCAAGGGTTATGAAAAGTGACAGTTAGTTGATATCACGCCACTGCTGCGGGCCGAAAGTATTTCTAGGTTGTTATCTGTTAGTTACCATTTGTATTTAGTGAGAGTTAATAAATATTATAATTAGTTCAAACGGTTGTTCCCGCCTTTTAATAGATTGCCCAAAGAATCTATACACTTTTTAAAAAAGAATTTATTTTTAACGCGGGACGAGCGCAATATACAACTGATCAGCAAATGTGTATATTGAACACTGACTCTTATAAAGGGTCACTAACATTTATAATTAAACAATACATGTTAAGAACAAGCAGACAACCTGTTAACAAGTGTAAAGGTTCAAATATAACATTGCACCCGTGTTAAACAAAAATTTAATTCTCAAATTTTATTTTTTGAACATTAAGGTGCAATATTTCACGAGTCGGAGCGTAGAATGTTAAAACAATGAGGCAAGTAGGGAAATTGGGAAACTTAAATGTGGAGATAAATAGATTAGAATTAGATATAGTAGGCATTAGTGAAATCCGTTGCCCCGAAGCCGGAGACTTCTGGAGTGGAGACTTTAGAATAATACAGGATCGGTGGAAGGTAATTCGGGGGCAGAAATTGTAATGCGTACGAAAGCAGGGCAAAGTGTAGGAAAAAACAAAAAAGCGATAGCGATACAGTGATGAAGACGTAGAAGCAGTGTATGCATGTGTTAAGTTTAGTGAAAGGGCAGGAAAATCTAATAGTTGTAGGAGACTTTAACGCAGTAATAGGTAAAGGTAAAGACGGTGCAATAGAATCTTTTAGATTAGGCAATAGAAATGATAGCGATCGTAACTTTAGTAGTTATGAAGACCAGCTTTAAATTGAAAATTCTGAAAAAGAGGGAAGGTAGAAGACCTCTTGACTTAGAAAAGCTAAAATGTAACGAAACGCGTGACAGGCTAGGTACAAGGACAGGCGAAATAGTAGAAGCGAATGACAGCAACATAGAGGCAGAATGGAACTGCATTAAAACATGCCTAAAGTCAGCCGCTACAGATATACTAAATCTTAAACAAAACGAAAGTAGAAGAAAAGTTTGAAGTAGGTAAAACCGATGAGGCTTATAATATAATTAAAAGGAATTTTAGAGATGTAGGGTACAGTAGTATATAATACTTATATTAACAATATACGAAACGAGGCAGGTGTCATTTTGATAGAAAATGAGGAAAAGGTAGGTAGGTGGAAGGAATATTTCGAGAACCTATACGCAGGCCATAGGTTAGGAGATATATTAGAGAAGGAAGACAGTGTGGAGATAGAAGAGTCAGGTTATCCGATAATGAGAGAAGAGCTCGATGTAGCATTAAAGAACATAAAGAATAATAAAACGCCAGGTGTAGACGGGACACAGGGGGAAATTCTAAAACATGCAGGACAAGAGGTTAAAGATCGTATGTTTAAGCTGGTTGGTCACAGTTACGTGACGGTGCAAGATCCAGAGGAATATAAATGGAACGTGGTAGTAACCATGTCTAAAAAGAGAGGCGCTGATAGATGCGAGACACTTAGAACAACTAGCTTAACTTCCCATGCGTTAAAAATCTTAAAAGTAAAACAAAAATACTGGTATGCAAGGGAAGAAAAACTAGGGAATGGGCGAATATAAAGATAGGAGACGAAAAATTAAAAGAAGCGGCTGATTTTGTGTATCTAGGAAGTCAGATAACTCAGGACGAAAGGAGTAGTAGGGATATAAAGCAGAGGATATCGCAGGGTGGTGTCGCCTTCAATAAAAAGAAGTCACACTATGCTCGCGAACGGTTAATTTAGAAATTCGAAAAAGGTTATTAAAGGTGTTTGTTTGGTGCGTGGCGCTGTATAGGTGCGAAACATGGACAATGGGCCCGGTGGAAAAGAAACGGTTAGAAGCGTTCGAAATGTGGTGTTATAGGCGAATGATGAGGATACCGTGAATAGAGATAGTTAAATATGAAGAGGTATTAGAAAGAATAGGAGAACAGTGGACTCTGTGGAAGTCAAAAAGAAATAGGCGAGATAGGTTAGTAGAGCACCTTCTCAGGCATAAAGGTCTAGTCAGAGACATATTAGAGGCAGAAGTGGGAGTTAAAAGGGGTAAAGGTAGACCTAGATTAGATTACTGTTCGCAAATAGTTGAGGATGTGGGTTGTTCTAGTTTTGAAGAAATGCGAAGATTAGCTCAGGATAGGAAAGAGTGGAGGTACATGTTCAACCAGTCTTAGAACTGACGACCTTACGACCTTATGACCTTATGCTGATGAAGCAAAATTAGAAATTTATAGTAATACTATAATAATAAGAGTAATGGCGAACATTGCTAAGATACAAAGCAGAAGTACATTTCGAAAATAACCAAAAGCAATATGATATTGAATAAGTAAAATTTAAATGAAAAATATTTTCAAACTAATAATTAACACTATTATTATCACTTATCCGGCTTTTGTGGTAGATGACGTAACTGGAACTTACTGAAATTAATCGTTTCAGAATGGTTGTTTTCTTGATAAGGCTCTTGTTACCTTGGAGTGGTTACTGAAGGGTCACCCGATATAGATTTAATTTTGTTTTTATTAGTACTAGTTGTAAAATGGGGTTAGTTAAACTTAAACAAGTTGAGCAAAAATAACAATCGCACCATAATGCAAAAATTACCGCGATAAAATATTACAAGATAATTGATGGTAACTACATTTTCTTGATGGAAATTCAGGATATATATATATATTTGTGGAAATTAATTTGTGTTTATTTATTAAGAAATACAACAAGTACTGAAAACAGTTATTTCGAAAAAGCCGGTTTATTTATTCCGGTTTGTATTTGATTTTGAAAATTGTTTAACTCGGCTAAAACACGTTTTACAAGAGAAAAAATGTGTTTTCTTTTATAAGAAAGGAAAATTGCATTGTTTCTTATCCATTTTTCACTTTAACTTNGATTCATTCCCCTAAACGATTAATCACAGATAGAGGAAAGTCTTTTGACTGCAAGGAATTCACAGAGTTTTGTGAGAAATTTCACATTCGACATGTGAAAAACGCTATTACATCCCCTCGCAGTAATGGTCAGGTTGAAAGATTGAACAGGAATGTATTAGAATCCTTAACTGCCAGTATTGAAGGCAAACATGATGAATGGGACAAATATCTCTTTCAAGTGCAAAGAGGTGTTAATTCAACAGTCAACGCCACAACTGGAGTCACACCTAGCGAATTGCTATATGGATTTCGTCCAGATATGACAAATGAAATTCGAGTGGTGAAAAGAAAACCCCTTGATTTGAAAGAACTACGACGAAACACTAAAATAAAATGCGATTTAAATGCACCTCGTAATTGTTATTTGATTTTGCAATTTTATCTGTTATAATCCTTTTTTATATTCGAAGACACAATAGCAATGTTATGGTCCAGTGTACCATATATATTGGCCTAGTGTGCAATCAGGTGTGGTAGTCTTGTGAACTATCTTGTTGGAAACGGTTCTGTATACCACTGAGTAGCGCTACAAATGTTGTAGGCCTGGTCTTGTGACCCAAAAGATAGCCCTGTGAACTATCTGAAGTTGCGTGGTCCTTTGAACCACCACATGGTTTTGTATACCACCAGTCGTTTCTGTAAATGTTCTTGTGAACCACCAGAGGTAGTCTAGTGTATTACCTGAAATCGTTTTCTTGTGAACCATTCGATCCTTTGAACCGTCATGTAGTCTTGTGCATTATCTGAAGTGGTGGACCCGTGTACCACTAGACGTTTCCATGAATCATGATGCATTGCTGTAGCCTTGGAAACCAGGAAGCGGGGTCGCTTCCACGTCAGGATGGCCGAATGATAAATGTGTTTAAAAAAAACTGTTCAACGTTTCAAACAATTTATGATTATGATTATGTTTATGAAAGATATGGGCTAACCGACATGTTCTTGTATTTTTAAGCTGTTCTATTTATTGAATTAATACTGCGAAGAATGAGGTCATTGTTTATAAAATGTATTGTATGATTGTATCGATGTCCTGACGAGGACACACTTGAATCTTGTCTGCGAATGCTATATGTTGTGATTTAAATTTGTATTGTTGTAAGAAAAATGGTGTTTCGTGATTAAATATTGTATTTGACTTTAACAAATCAGGAGTGGGATTGTCCCCCCCTGTCCACAAAGGTGAATTTTTGGCGAAAAGTTAGTTGGTCGCAATAGTTAAAGTGCAAAAGAAAATTAAATTAAAAAAAAAAATAAAATAAAATATGCCCAGAGAAAGAAATAAGAGAAAACGTACTCGCTCTACAAGTAGTAGCAGTACTTCATCTGATAGTTCGAAATCTACTTCTAGTTCCAGTACTAATTCGGATTCTAGTTCGGCAAGTGAACATGTGAACCGTGCGAACAGAAAATTGCGGAAAGAAGTGCAGAAACTCAAAATCAAAGTGCAAAGTCGGGCCGGTATCAGGGTAAAATTGACAGTGTATCTGTGTTTACGGGCTATTTTGACGCGAAACAAAATGTACAGCAGTGGTTGCGAAATGTGGATGCTACGGGCGACATGTTCGATTGGGACGATAAGGCTCGTATTTTTTGTATGACAAATAAGTTACAAGGTAATGCAAAAACATGGTATTGGAATCAAGAAAACACCAACATTTCCTGGAAAAAATGGAAGGAAAAACTGATTGAATCTTTTCCTGTGCAGCAGTGTGTTTTCAGTAAACTTAAGGAGCTAGTGAATAATGAACGCGTACCCAGGCAAGAATTAATAGATTTCTACTATCAAAAGTTGAGTTTAGGCCAGTATTGTAAATTAGAGGACCGCATCATAGTGGACATCATTGTAAACACGATTAATGATCCATTTCTGCAGACAGGTATCAGAGCTGCTTCTTGCGTAAGTACAAAACATTTATTACGATTCCTCATTCAAAATGCCGAGCACCGTAGATCGTCTAATCGTAAAATTATTATTCACAATAACCCAAACAGTAAATATACCAAAACTCAGGCATCGACATCGAAAGAAACTAAACAAATGAATTGTTACTTGTGCGGTCGTGAAGGTCATAAAAAGGCCGAGTGCGATAAAAACACTTCTAATAAATCTTGCGCGTTTTGTAAACTAAAAGGACATACAGAAACAAACCGTTTTAAAAAGAAACGATTGAATGACAAAAATTATAATGCAACCCAACGTAAAATTAATAAACTATTTTGCAGTGTAAATCGTATGGACGAAAAATTTCACAAACAAGCAAAAATTAACGGGACAATTGTTTCCGCGTATGTGGATTTCGGTAGCAATTGTAACATCATGACTAAGGGTGTATTTGACAAACTAAAAATGACTGCAAATTGCAATAAAGTGGACATTGTCATTATCGGTTGCGGTGGTGCGACGGTTAATCCCTTGTGCGTGGTAACAGCTGATCTCGAAATAGTCAACGTAAATATGAAAACTAACTTTTATGTTGTTCCGGATTCACTTCAAACGACCAATGTATTGATAGGACAACCAATAACTGAGAGTGAAAATGTTTTTGTATACAAGACCGTCGATTATTTAAAACTCACCGACCGAAATGTTTTTCAAGAATTAGACTTATCGCGATTCATAGAAACAGATAAAACTGTTAAAATTCGCGTACCCCAAAACATTATGATTAAACCAGGTATTAATCTAGTAACAGTAAAGGCTGATGTACAAAGTGAAACGCTTCACACCAATTATTCCGAACAGCTTCGGGGTGGGTTTCCTGTTATTGTACCAAATAACAAAATAAATTTTCTAGGCGGAAAAGGAATTATACATGTGCTGAATTTGAGTACAGAAACTGTTAGTTTCAACGAAAATGATTGCATAGCGCGCCAGAAAAATAATATCGAAGTTACTCAACGTCAACCCCCCGAGAATCCAAATGTACGTCGTCTGATCCAAAAGTATAAGAACTGTTTAAAGGAAAATTCCGATTTAATATGTAATCTCGACATAGAAATGCAAATTGAATTGGTGACATCGGGGCCTATTAATTATAAACCTTATAGATTGTCTTTATTCGAACGCGAAAAAGTTAGGAACATTGTTAACGATCTTTTAGAGAAGGGAATTATTGAACCAACCGTATCTCCCTACGCTAGCCCTATACTACTATTAAAAAAGAAAACAGGTGATTTTCGGATGGTTGTTGATTATCGCAAATTGAATGAAATCACGGTAATGGATCGTTTCCCCTTACCATTGATTGAGGATCAACTTGAGCGACTGATGGATAACAAAATATTTACGACGCTTGATTTGAAATCAAGCTACCATCAAATACCCGTAGCCAAAGACAGCCAAAAGTATACGGCTTTTGTGACACCTGAGGGCCATTACCACTACACCCGAGTTCCTTTTGGTTTGTGCAATGCCCGGCTATTTTCCAGAGAGCTCTATATGGCATTAGGAATGTTGATTTACGATTACGCACTAGTATATCTGGACGACATTTTGATAGTGGCCAAAACTGAAGAAGAAGGTACAGAACGACTGGAAGAGGTTCTGAAAGCATTGAGCGAATCAGGGCTCACACTAAATTTAAACAAATGCAAATTTTTGAAAACTTCCGTTGAATATTTGGGTACCGAGATCCGCAATGGTTCTATGACACCATCCCCCAAGAAATTACAAGCAGTACAAGATTTCCAGCGACCTAAAAACATACATCAAGTTAGGCAATTCTATGGATTAGCTTCATACTATAGGAAATATATTCCCAATTTTGCATCTAAAGCAAAGCCGTTGTCAGATTTGTTGAAGAAAAACTGTGCATGGGTTTGGAACAATGAACAAGAAAAAGCCTTTAACATCCTGAAGCAAGAAATCACACAGCCCCCTACTTTGGTAATATTTAATCCAAGTTTTGAAACCCACTTGCACACTGACGCCAGCAAAATTGGATTTGGTGCAGTTTTAACGCAAAAACAAAAAGATGAAAACTGGAGACCTGTTGCTTACATGAGCCGACGAACAAGTGATACTGAAAATCGCTATCATAGTTTCGAACTAGAAACTTTAGCTGTTTACGAAGCCACTAAACATTTCCGGAATTATCTCTATGGAAGACATTTCACCATTGTTACTGATTGCAATGCGATGCGTTTGACGTGGACGAAGCGCGATTTAACGCCCAGAATTGGCCGTTGCTGGTGGCTGGCAATGCAGGAGTACGATTTTACTGTCATCCACAGACCTGGAAATCAAATGAGTCACGTAGATGCCCTCAGTCGTAACCCTATAGCAGTGAATAAGGTCCATACAAACGATTGGGTAACTGGAGTACAAATGCAAGATGAAAACCTACGAAACCAAATTGAAAACGGTGAAGCCGAAGACTGCTACATAATAGTAGACGACAAGATCTGTAAACAAAGTGATGGTGAACCGAAAGTTGTAATTCCGCGAGATGTTCGATGGAGAATAGTGAAGATGTTCCACGACGACAATGGTCATCCAGGTTGGCAACGCACCCTTCGTGCTATCAAAGACACTTATTGGTTTAATGAAATGACCAGATTCGTGAAGAAATATGTGAAAAATTGTATTTCGTGTATGGTATCTAAGAAACCAACGGGCCGTAGATATGGCAAGCTACATCCAATAGAAAAAATAGAAGAGCCCTTTCACACGCTACATGTTGATCATTTAGGCCCCTTTTGTAAAGCAGAAGCGGGAAATGCTCATATATTAACTCTTTTACAAAATTTGTTTGGCTGGAGGCTGTTGCAGACACTAGTAGTAGATGGGTTTGCCAGAAGTTGGAGCAGCTGATAAAATTGATTCATTCCCCTAAACGATTAATCACAGATAGAGGAAAGTCTTTTGACTGCAAGGAATTCACAGAGTTTTGTGAGAAATTTCACATTCGACATGTGAAAAACGCTATTACATCCCCTCGCAGTAATGGTCAGGTTGAAAGATTGAACAGGAATGTATTAGAATCCTTAACTGCCAGTATTGAAGGCAAACATGATGAATGGGACAAATATCTCTTTCAAGTGCAAAGAGGTGTTAATTCAACAGTCAACGCCACAACTGGAGTCACACCTAGCGAATTGCTATATGGATTTCGTCCAGATATGACAAATGAAATTCGAGTGGTGAAAAGAAAACCCCTTGATTTGAAAGAACTACGACGAAACACTAAAATAAAATGCGATTTAAATGCACCTCGTAATTGTTATTTGATTTTGCAATTTTATCTGTTATAATCCTTTTTTATATTCGAAGACACAATAGCAATGTTATGGTCCAGTGTACCATATATATTGGCCTAGTGTGCAATCAGGTGTGGTAGTCTTGTGAACTATCTTGTTGGAAACGGTTCTGTATACCACTGAGTAGCGCTACAAATGTTGTAGGCCTGGTCTTGTGACCCAAAAGATAGCCCTGTGAACTATCTGAAGTTGCGTGGTCCTTTGAACCACCACATGGTTTTGTATACCACCAGTCGTTTCTGTAAATGTTCTTGTGAACCACCAGAGGTAGTCTAGTGTATTACCTGAAATCGTTTTCTTGTGAACCATTCGATCCTTTGAACCGTCATGTAGTCTTGTGCATTATCTGAAGTGGTGGACCCGTGTACCACTAGACGTTTCCATGAATCATGATGCATTGCTGTAGCCTTGGAAACCAGGAAGCGGGGTCGCTTCCACGTCAGGATGGCCGAATGATAAATGTGTTTAAAAAAAACTGTTCAACGTTTCAAACAATTTATGATTATGATTATGTTTATGAAAGATATGGGCTAACCGACATGTTCTTGTATTTTTAAGCTGTTCTATTTATTAAATTAATACTGCGAAGAATGAGGTCATTGTTTATAAAATGTATTGTATGATTGTATCGATGTCCTGACGAGGACACACTTGAATTTTGTCTGCGAATGCGATATGTTGTGATTTAAATTTGTATTGCTGTAAGAAAAATGGTGTTTCGTGTATTTGACTTTAACGGTATATATATTATATGTTAAGTACAGGGAGAAAATAGGACAACAAAATATTTTATTTATTTATTAAAACATTATTTATTGCAAAATAAATTGACAGGCTATGAATGGTCATGTTATATAAATTATAAAGTAACCTTTCTGCATTTTTGTGCTGCAAATTCCTTTATTTGGTCATCGCACTGTAAGTCCTTTGTTAAATCGCAATTTATGGAAAGAACTGATAAATAATTTAGTCGATAGTTCGACATTGTTGTCCTGTATTTCTTTTCTATATACGATATCCTGGAGAAAGAGCGCTCAACTTCACAGCTAGTGATCGGCAACGTTAACAAAATCTTTTAGATGATATAGCAGTTTGAGAAAACATCAACAAGTTTCTATTCATAAATTAGCCAAAAAATTTCACTGCAAGAGGTGTAAGACTCTATCTTAGACTGCAGTAAGTAAGATTTTAACTGAATGCACTCATTCACTAAATGTTCGTTTACATCATTTGGATAATAATTAATAATATTTTTATTAATTTTTTCGCCGAAACTATCGAGAATTTTCATAATGCTGTAGCGATCTGTATATATTGTAAATATTCGAATTTTATTTTCTAAAATTTATTCTATTTCTAAATCTTTCCTTTCAATTTTAATTTCAAACTCTTGATCATGCTTCATTACCTGGAACCCCTATGCATGCATGTACGCTGTCTTATAATTACCAACAATCTGGTTTCTGCCGCAATAACATTCCATTCTATTTACTTCTGAGAATTTTTACCGTCAGTACTTGTACCTTCAGTCTTTCTTCTAAACTACCTTTCTCCTTGTCTATCTTCAACCACGATTAACTATAAAAACCCTTATTTTCGATTTCAAAAGTTAGTTAGTTCTTCAGAGTTCTTCTAGTTCTTCTCTCCAGCTGTTTAGTAAGTTTACGCATATATTTTTATTATTGTTATTGTTTGTGGCTGTCTTGTTCCTGTGATTGTGGTTAGTAATGTTTTAAAGACATCAGGTAGTTCACCACATTACCACCACTGCCGGACCCCCTGTATTCCACCGACCCAGACGTCTAGACCTTGCAAGGCTGATGACTGCAAAAAAAGAATTCGAGGCAATGTTGGAACGTCCGTCAAAGAGTCCGTGGGCATCGCCATTGCACATGGTACCTAAAAAGGACAATTGTTGGAGACCCTGCGGAGACTACCGTGGTTTAAATGCTCGAACTATACCAGACCGATATCCGATAAAACATATTCAGGGCTTTGCGCATGCGTTGCACGGCAAGAAGATCTTTAACACAATAAATTTGATTCGTGCCTACAACCAAATACCAGTCACAAAGAAGAATATACCAAAAACTGCCATAACTACGCCGTTTGGACTATTCGAGTTCAAATATATGACGTTTGGACTTCGCAACGCCGCCGCAACTTTTCAACGGTTTATCGACAATGTATTGCATGGATTAAACTTCTGCTACGTATACATTGACGATATCCTATTGGCGTCCTCAACCGAAGAAGAACACTACGACCACCTAAAAACTCTTCGGCCGTCTACAACACCATGGAGTCGTTATCAACCAGGCGAAGTGTGTATTCGGCAAACCAGAGGTGCAGTTCCTAGGATACCAACTTACGAGCAACGGCGCTGAGTCATTACCGGAAAAACTCGAGACGATACGGTTTCCTGGTTTTGCGATTTTTTGCTCCCTTCGGTTAGATTCTCTTTGCATAAAATACCTCCCTTTATGTTTTTTAATGGATTTGTAGCTATTTCATTCTCGTTTATATGTTCTGATTTAAAAAAAGTTTCAATTTTTGCACATTTATTTCTGTGTTTTTCTCGATCGAACTGTAATTTTCGTTTTTCAGCTCCACTTTTATAATTTCTAGCAGACATATTGTAAAATAGGATATTTTTCTGAAACTAAACAAAGAACTAGATAGAACTTTTAATTTTAATACCTACTTTGTAATGACTGTAGCAATTGACAAATTATCATTAAAAATCGAACGAGTTCGATTCATTTAGTTTTGAGAAATGAAATAAAAATAAAAAAGTCATGTTTTATAATTTCTTTTACTTACCTACTGCCTACTAAAAGCAGGAAGTCTTCTTATGCTGAATACTTTCAATTTTAGTAAAATAAAAGAAAGGTCCGGTCCTTATAACTTTTAAGTTATCTATCACTTAGTAAACTAAACACGCACTAAAAACATTTCTAACAATAACAAAGTCAATTCGTTAATATAGTAGACGATAGCAGAAGTGCGGAAAAATTACAAAATTGCGTCGGGCGATAAGCGGAGGGAAGTCCCCAGAGTAATAGACAATACACGGAATACACCGACCGAAAACAAGCAACGGGGAATTCTCCGTTCCGTTTGATAGATGCGCACACGGACTGATTGATCACAGTGTTGCCAACCTTATGATCATCGAATTTTTTTTAATTCTAGATAAATTTTATTATTGACAATATTGTCTATTGTTTTCAGTTCAGGTTGGGGGCCCTCTGTACCGACGGGGCCCTGGGCTGCAGCCCAAAAAGCCTTTAAGTAGATCCGCCCCTGATTTTACCTGTTATTTCTTTAGGTGATTTTTCATTTATAATATATGCCTTAGCATATTTGGTCAATTTGTCTTCAATAATTTAAACTTTAAACTGGGTTTGGTCAATTAAACTAAAGGTGATTGTATCAATATCAGTTCTTTTAATAAATTTAGTAGGAGTTGTGGTTATAGTTACAGATTCAAAATTTTGACGAGAAGTTTCACTTCGCGCACATGCTTCACATTGCCTAACAAAATTCTCAGTATCTTGTTTACATTTGACCCAAAAGAAGTATATTGTTAGTTTATTATAGGTCTCATTCATACCTTTGTGATAATTTAAACCGTCTTCATTTTAATTATTAGTTTTTTATCTGTGTCAGATAATCGACAGGAATGGAATTGTTCTGAGATAAAAAATTTGTTTACTAAAGCCTCGATCTTTAAAGTAAGAAAGTATAATTTCAAAGTCTTCTATGTCATTAATAATTTCGAGAGTTTGAAGAAAATACACGGATTTATTTTTGTTATTTTGGAATTTCTCGTAGTTTGTTATAATTATCGTGTTCATCTTTGTTAATGTTAAACATGACATATTAAATTTAGTTCAATTCTTACTTTTCACTATAGTTTTGTCTAATTTATTAATAGGTTTACTAGTGTTAACATCAAAAATAATATTTCTAATTCTGTTATTTATATCGTTTAGATCTGTGATGGGAACTATTATTGTTTGTAAATCACTAGGTGTTGACGGGAATTTCAAGTATTTCTTCGATAATATTTGTCTTATTTATTTTTTGCTCGTATCTCTCAAAAGAAAGAATAAGTAGGTTTGTCCAATCCGAATGGTTTAAAGCATTGATTTTGATTCTGCTTAAAGCGTCGGCGTTTTTCGATTCTGACTACCCTTTTTGTGGATAACTTCATAGTTTAATTCTTCTAATTTCAACCTCCATCTTACTAACCTGCTTCCTGGATCTTTTATCGAAAACAACCAAATAAGGGAACGATGAATTATTGTATTTATTATTTTGAATTTTCGATCATAAATATATGGGCGAAAATGTTTGGTCGCCCAAACTCTGACAAGGAGTTCCCTCTCGATTGTCGAATAGTGGGTTTCCGCTGGAATGAGGGTCCTGATGGCATAAGCAAAAGGCAGATCATTTCATAGAGAACCTTGGGAAAGAACAGCTCCTTTGGCAAATTGGGAGCCGTCAGTTGTTAATATGAATTCCTCTTCGAAATTTTGATACTGCAAGATGGATGCCTCAATTAAGGATGCTTTTAATATTTAAAGGCTTCTTCGCAGTTTTTATCTAAATTGAACTTTTTATGGCAAGACTGTTAAGGATTTAGCTATTTTGGTGTAGTTGACTATAAATCTTCTGTAATAGTCATCAGTTAGGCCTTGAAATGCTTTGTTGTTAGTGGGTGTTTTAGACCTCGGTAGTCTTCAAAAATTCACATTTATCTGACTACATCTTTAAGTTATAATGTCGCAGTCTCTTGAATACTTCTTGGAGTCGATTGTTGTTACCGAAAATTACAATATCGTCTAAATATAAGAAGCATTGTTCTCCAGTTATATCATACAATACGCTGTTTATTGTTCTCAGAAAAGAGAAGGGAGAATTAGGAAGTCAGAATGGTATTTTAAATTCGTAATGAGACGATTCCATTAAAAACGCTCTTTTGGGAATGTACTATAGATCGACTTCTATTTGGTGAAATCCCGAGGCAAGGTCCAAAGTGGTGAAATATTGACTCTTACTTAAGTTGTCCAAAATTTCGGTAATATGTAATGGAAACTTGTCCGGGATAGTTACTTCATTCAGTTTCTGGTAGTCGATCACAATTCGCCGTTTTTGTAGTCCACTAGCATCCATTTTCTTAAGGACAATCCATAATGGACTGTTCCAAGGGCTTTGGTTTAGTTGTATAATATCCTGATCTATTATTTCTTTAATTCGTCTCTCAACTTCGTGCTTGTGGATTTTAGGATAACGATAAGATTTTGTGAAAATCGGTTTGGTTTCGGTCGTGCCTATGGCGTGATTAAATGTATGTGTAAACGATAGTTTGCCTCCTGGTAGATAAAATAATTCTTGAGTTAGTTTCTTCTTTTTCTTCACCGTTTTGATGTTCTTACTCTGACATTATCACATATCTTTTTAATACGCACCGTTTTAATGTCGTTTTCTTATTTGAAATATTATTTTTGACCTAATTGATACCAAAAGGTTCTCGGAATTCTTAAATAAATGGATTAGAAATAATTATATCTTTACCTTTATTATCGGTTTTTAATAGACAATTTGGAATGATCACATTATTAGTTAAAGAGTTTTCTTTTCTAAAAACATTTCTAACAATAACAAAGTCAATTCGTTAATATAGTNTTTGGAGCTTAACCTTTTAATTGGAATTTTTACATTTCTTAAAA